CATTTTGCTTTACTTCATTAATTATCAGTATTTTCGCATAAGAGCACTTTCACTTAACGGTTAGCAGAAAGGAGAACGCAGAATACCTGTAAAATGCATCATCTAATTTCCTGTCAATAACAGTGTGTGTTTTCGCTTTCTTTCACTTAGTGAATGCATTACGTTGTTGCATAATAAAATTAAACTGCGCTGCGTATACGCATTGGAGGTAAAGAGGAAATACATTTAACTGTGCGACATTAAAAAATCGGGGGAAAAATGTCGCAAGGACAAGAGCATTAAAATCAAGCCAAATGCCGCCGAAGTGACACCTGCATGACTGTACTCACCCATACACACTCTTATAAACATTTACCAATGTAGGCTTATAAAACGGACGTCACTACGACGCGCAAGCAACAGTTCCGCATTGAGAAATCAAGAAGGAGAGAGAGAGAGAGAGAACAACCAGCAGAGTTAGGGATACGCTGACCCCAATGAGCAACAAAGTGAGCAACAAACAAATTTCTTTATGTGGTAACACTCTATTTACATTGTTATTGCTCAAGTGGAGCTGGCAACAGCAAACAACAACAGGAAAGAAAAAAAAACGTTTATATTAAATAGTGAGTCTCTTCGACTCTAACATTAACCGCAACTGAATTCCGCATGAGAAAGTCGCAGGAGGGTTGAATGAGTAATAAAAAATGCGTAAGCGGTGAAGTGATATCACAAAAGATGCAGCTGAATAAGCGGGCGTACGAAGGCAAAACATAGTAAAGCATATGAAATGCATTGCATTGTCAATGCTTCACACTTAGTCCTTAAAACCGTTTTCTTCACCAGTTTGCCATTGTCGCACGGGGCGTACACGCAACATTATACCTATGTGTGCATGTGCTATTGGGTGTATTGTGTGGAAAGGTGATTTTGTTTGAATTTGTCACATTATTAGCAATATAAAAATCATTAAAGCTAAAAAATATTAAAATTGAAATGAAATAAAATTAAAAAATTGCAAAAATGAAATAAAATAAACTACACTAAATGTAATAATAATATAAAATAAAGTAAAAACTAAACAAATAATTAATAAAATTAAAAAACTATAAGCTGAACCAAAATGAAAAATGATATAAATTAAAGTAAAACAAAATAAAAAAAAAAAGCAATATAAAAAAATATAATTAAAAACAAATTAATGTAAAATATAAATAAAATAAATGAATATAAAATAAAATAAAATAAAATAAAATAAAATAAAATAAAATAAAATAAAATAAAATAAAATAAAATAAAATAAAATAAAATAAAATAAAACAGGAAAAAAAATAAAAAAATGAAGTATAATAAAATGAAATAAAATAAAATAATATAAATTAAATACAAGAAAATAAAACTAAATAAATTAAGATGAAACAAAATAATATGAAATAAAATACAACTAATAGTAATATAATATAGAAAACAAATATATTAATAAAATAAAATAACATGAAAAAATATTATATAAGAAAAGTAAAATAATAAAATGTTAAATAAAATAAATTAAAATAAATGAAAATAAAATATATTAAAAAATGATATTGAACAAAATTAAAAAATAAAAACAATCTAAAAAAAATTTAATTAAAATAAATTATAAATGAAATAAAATGAAAATAAAATAAAATAAAATAAATCAAATAAAATTAAATATTATTAAATACAATAAATGAAAGTAAAAAATAATAAATAAAAGAAAATAAACTTAAAATAATATACTCGTATTATGAAAAAAAATAAAATTAAATGAAATGAATAAAATAAAATAATATGAAGTAAAAGAGAATAAGTAAACAATTTATAAAATTAATTTAATTTAATCAAATCAAATAAATACAAAAATAGAAGAAAAATTTAATTTAATTAAAATGAAATTAAATCAAATTTATAAAAAAAAAAAATAATCGCATATAGATATTGAAGAAAGAATTGTAATAAATTTACTAATAAATAATGCGTTAAGTACTAAAGGGGTCTTTAATATTGTTTAAACATTAAATTTTATAACTAAAGCCGCTTTAAAATACAAGCGCCTTACAACGTCTTCCCCACAAGCATTTCTTCGGCTAAGCTATATGTAGTTTTACAGGGCACATTCTTAAAGCTTTGACGCCAATGCAACTGTAAGTACTTTTGTGCGCACTTAAGAAAATGTAAGCATTTTAACGGTGTCGCCGGCTTCGACTTAGCACCCTCCAATACTTTGAAATGCGTGCGTTTAAGCAACGCACCATAAAATAATAAAAAGGGTGCGAAAAATGTACTTGCTAAGGAACTTTGAAGGACCAAAAATGACTGGCTAGCTACATAAACGCACACACACACACACACACACACACACACGCATTAAGCGCGTATAATGTCGTGTCGATTGGGGTTAAGTAAGTAAGTCACACACATTAGCATAAACAAATATTTCATTTGCAAGTATACATCGTTTCAAATAACACGCACTTTCACCCACGCCATGCGCGCTCACACACTCGTACATACATATACATAGTTCACATCTTTACTTGCTCTCGTTTGACACTTTAATGCGCTGCCGCCTGCACTTTTGTGCACTTTTGCTTTGCATCATTTATGCATAATAATAAAATATACAGCCATTTGAGTGAGTGTAAATGTAATTATGCTAAAAGCGAAAATCAATAAAATACCGTTAGTGCATCTACTTGCATTTTGTTCAAAAAGGGGGAGACTGACATAAAATCTGGTAAGTAATAGCCATTAATATGAGTGTTTTGAATGCTGTGAAGTAGGGAATAAAGTATGAGTAGTTCAATGATTTTTTTTGTTTCAAGTCATTTGGTTTCTTTATTTCAAGGGAAAATATGTATATCCTAGAGAGTTGAATATTTCTTCTCTCGAGGGGTTTAATAATTGAAATTTTCACAGCTGAAACTGAGTACGGTAGCCGGTTGAACGAGCGAAACGGGTATTGGATCCCACATTCATTTCAGCTCTTGAGTTTTGAGCCGTTTGGTGAGCGGCTTGTTTGTTGGTCGTTGATATATATTAGAGAATCTGGTGAAAAAGAAATTTTCAAAATATAATATAGAGGTTGAGTGTTAACCACTCTTTCTTCTACTTTAAGACTGAGTTGTACTCAGCGTACTTGCGTCGCAGAGGGCACTTATAGTTAGCTATAGAGGTCTAAAGGAGAGAAGTTTAGAAGGGTCTAGAGGGCCTCTGTTGGAATATAGAGGAAAAAAATGCAATATAAGGACGTTTGCGAACCGCCGAGCTGTGTACTGAAGGTGGTGCCAGCCGCTAACGGGTGCCGCCGTTGAAAAAGAGTCTGTGAAAATCCAGTGAACAATGTAGAGTCTTTTATGGATTTATTCTTCTTTATTTAACCTCGACAGAGAGAGTGATCTTCGCCCCTTAGTAGTTGGATATACTTACAAAAAACCTTCCAAGCCGTCCCAGATCCAGCCGGTTTAAGGACGTCAGCATTTAAACTTAAGAACACGTGGGTATCCCGAGACTGGATGCACTTTATGGTGCGATCAAGACTAGTCAAATATTGTTCGACATCCCCACTTCGCAACGGACTTGCCCGCTATTGTAAAGCTGAGCTGCTTGTGAGAAAGCAAACAAGAAAGCTTACAAGTATTCAAGTGGTTTTCGAATCAAATTTCGGGAAGCATTTAGGTGGATGCGTTTCATGAGAAGACAAATTCTTCTAAGCTGCTAGAGTATCTGGACCATTTTTTTCACCTTTCAAATCTGCCTCCGAAATCGGACCGAACAAAAATCCTTGGCATAAAAACTCACGTCTTTGTAACGAGAAGACACAGCAAAATATCCTTTCAAGTTACCCCCACTCCACTCTTCACCTCAGTCTACATAATGTTAGTTTTTCGTATCTACATGAAAGAGTCGAAAAATGTCCTAAGCAGCAAAGAAACTTTGAAAAAAGTGATAGAAAAGTGACTTTATACTCGTATCTATTGGATTACAGATCACAATAGTTGTGAGGGGAACAAAACAGTTGAAGGGGGCTGGCCAATACCGACATTCATCTGGCGATCTAACTGGAACATGAAAAGTTCTAGGGACTAATATTTCTCTTTTTTTCAATCTCACAAAGGCTGCATAACAGTTCTTGGCCTAATGTGGGCTGACCAACCTACAATATATACGAGCAGAATTGACCTAGCAATGCATAGGTGAGACTGAGATGTCGGTCCACCTCGCGTATCTGTTCGACCTTAGCTAGACATGTGCCAGAGATCGTGGAGCCTCGTTGTTGTTGAAGAGCTCCAAAATAAACCCGCTGTAAGGTACGTCAGTCGTAGGAAGCGTTTAAAATCCAAAAGCATCCGCTGCAAGCAGGGCTTTATATTGGAAATAGCTGTATTTTTATTCGGCCAAGGACTGTTGCTTTCCTAAAAATCACTTTTGCGGCTAAAACAACAACAACTACTACTAGAAGAAGACTTGAAGGAGGCCTTTTTGACTTTGAATCTCACTTCACTTCAAGCTAACTAGAACCACTGCACCGCCACATACGATTAACAGGCCTATGTAAGACGCAGATTCTTTTAAGCACGACTTCGCTGATATTGCCTTTATCTTTTTCATAATAAAAGCCTCCTGCTATCACTTGGATTCCTCAATAGCCAAAATTGGCAAACAAGCTCTTTCCTCGAAATCCACCACAGGATATGCTTTATTAAACTACCCTACCCCAATTGAGTGAATGTCCACTACACAGTGGCTAATAAGGACATGAGCTGGCGCCTCAAAAATAAGTACGAGTAAGTAGCAATCTAAGTGGCATTTTTTACCCTCCCCTTGCACTCCTCATGCGTCACACATACTCGCATAAACAAATTATATTATTTCCAGTTTATTGTGTTTACACAACACACCCTTACACAAACATACATAACAATAGAGTGGAGAGTAAACAAGAAAAATGTAAAAAAAAAAATCTCATTTTCTCTATATAACGGTCACACACTCACCTTCACGCATGTCCTTGTAAGCATCGTCGACATGCGACTCCTTGTAGATGATTGAATGGAAGCCACTGCCTCGATTGTCATCGGTTTGTCCATTTTTATGATTTCCGCCGGACGTTGGAGATGTTTTTGATGTCGTCTCTGTTGTCGCTGGCGTCAACGTGCTGGACGTTGTTGTTGTGGTTGGTTTTAATGGCGACGCTGCTGTTGAACTCGTCGTCGTCGTCGTCGTCGTCGTCGTCGTCGTTATTGTTGCTGTTGTAGACGTAGTTGTTGCCGTGTATTGTTGGGCAACGCGTCGTTGTGCCATTGGCAGCGTTTGCGTGCCGTTTGTTGTTGTTGTTGGAAAATATCGCTTGGCATGTTCAACATAATAGGCATCACGTTCCGTTATTATTTTACCCTCGAATACCCCATCCAGTATGGAACCAAATACATAACTATTACGATCCCCTATCACTTCGCCCTCGTAGATGTGATCGGTGGCCACATCTAGGGGGAGATTGTTGCTATCATAAAACTGGTGAGAGGGAAGAGGAAGATAATTAAATTTTTTAGTTCAGTTGTTTGCAATGAAAAGTAATATCTGTAAGTAACTCATATTATTAAAAAAAAATTTTAATCATAAATGACATACAAATATTATGTTCAGATATTACATATTAAATGTAACAAAAAAAAAATATATATATAAAAACACACAAATATGAAAATAAAATTATTAAAATTAAATTTAAATTTTAATACAAAATTAAAAATAAAAAGTAAAAAATATAATAAGTTAAAAAAGGTAAAATATTAAAAAAATTATAAGATATATTTATGTACTCAAAAACATTTAACAAAATTTGAAATAAAATAAACTACATATAATAAAAAAAAAATTCGAAAAATTATTTTTTATTTGATACCAAACCCATACTTCTTCTTAAAGAAATGCAGCTACAAAACTAAAAGTGTAAAAAACTATTAAAAAAATAAAAATAAAAAGGAATAATTATAAAACAAAATAAAATAAAAATACAAATACTTAAATTAAAAAAATAATAATAATAATAAAAAAATAATAAATAAAATTAAAAGTTATTTCTAATTTAAAAATATTCAAAAAAAAATATTAAAAATGAAATCTAATATATAAACACTAAAATATTGAAATACTTAAAAACAAATAAAAGTTTAAAAAAAGTAATTTTATTCTCTTAAAAGTGCTCAAAAATAAAATAAATAAAGCCCAATAATTAAAATAAAAAAAATTATAATCATAAAAAATATATTCCGAAGGTATTATTTTGTTTCCAAAAATTTTAAATAAATTTAATTTTATATTAGAGCTCTTAATATCCACGTATCACACAGTGCGAGCAGCTCGATAGTCATTTTTTGTTCAACTGCTCAAACATTTTGTTTATAGTTTTTCAATATTAAATTTAATTTAAAAAATTTGTTTAGAATTTCATTGAATTTTTCACTTTGATTAATTTAATTTAAAATTATATATAGAAGCCCTGAGAAAAAAATTAAAAATGCACGAAAAAGAGACGAGGTCGTGCTCGAAAATTTTCGGGCAATGAGCAATTAACAGTTGTGCGAGTACACGGTGCTCAAATGCTCAAGCTGATCGAAGATGTTCGAATCAAATCTGGATTTCTACTTTAAATACAAAATAAAAAATAATTAAAAAATCAATTTTAAGATGCTATGATGTTATATTTAAAAACAAATTAGAGAAAAAATAAAATATAAAAGGAAATAATAATTAAAATAAGGAATTAAAAATATATATTAAAGAAGATAATAACTTAATAGAATAATTAGTTCTATATTCATTGAAGAATATGCATGCTTAAAAAAAATAATAATTGAAAAAAAATTTTAAAGGAAAATTTAATATTAAAGAAAAGGAAATAAAAAAATTAAAAGAAATTAAAATATTAAAAAAAAATTAAAAAATATAAGAAAATCGCTTTTTAAAAGCCTAAAACTTGCAAAATTTTAATTAAAACTTTCAATTAAAAAAGAAGATAAGAAAACTATTTTGAATTTAAAAACAAATACAACAACAAAGAACAAAAAGAAAGAAAAGCTAGTAAGTATGAATAAAAAAATAAAAAAAAATAAAAAAATTATAATGATTAAAATAAAATAAAATAATATATAAAAATAAAATATTTATAATTAATAATAAAAAAAAATCTAGCTAAAACTGAAAATTGAAAAATAGCTTAACAAATACTTATTTAAGTATAAGAAATTTTTAAAGCAAAGATTTTTTATTTAAAAATTTTCACTCACCTCTAGCTTATCACTAAATGTATTTAAATCACGTTTTAGCCTAAGATGGAAGTGTCTTCCGTGTGCTGAAAATTTTAAATCTACATGATGATCTTTGGTCACGGATCGTTTCGCTCTATTGTGACTAGTGTGTATATGTTTATGATCATAGTTGAGTTCTTCATAGTGCGATATGTATTCGTTGAGTCGACGATGTGCTGAAATGAAAAAGAAGAATAAATTCGGAGTCAATATTATTATACGTTACGATACAATTTCTCTCATAGGAGAGATCCCATTAGTTTATCTATACCATAGTAAGGGTTAAAAAGACGAGAAATACAAATTTCCAACACACTTTCTACATCTCCAGACAATTCAATAAAAAAGGTCTTGATCATTCAATGTCTTTTTATTCCCAGATAACAAAAAAAATGATGAGAACTACACAGCATATGTCTGTTAAACGAACAGATAATGTAAACAGACAAAAAAAAGTAATTACAAATAAAAGCGGAAGCGAAAGTTCGAAAGAAATGTAAGTTAACAGATTAAATACAATTAATTTCAATTTTATTAAAATATTATTAATATAAAATTATAATTATATACTATATAATATAATTACTGTTTTGATTTTGATTTTAGTTTTAATTTTAATTTTAATTTTAATTTTAATTTTAATTTTAATTTTAATTTTAATTTTAATTTTAATTTTAATTTTAATTTTAATTTTCATTTTCATTTTCATTTTAATTTTTAAGTACTTTTTAAATTAATTTGTTATTTTCAATTTTGGTATTACATTTTAGAGTTATTCCAGAATTAAACTGGGCTCTCTTCTGATTAGTTTAAGGTTTGTTGCAGGCGTACACATACTCAGCTTAAGACAAATAAGGATTTACAGCCTTTCTTTAGAATTGGTATTGCTTACTTAGTTACTACCACTGCAAAGTTGCCACATGCCACATGTTGCCGCCACAATACAACTGCGATTGAACAACAATACATTTAAGAGCACATAAACACTCGCATATACACAACAAACACGCAGGGAATACTTGCACTAAAGTGCCTTAACCAAAGTGCTTGGCCGGTGATTTAGAGCAAGATTGTTGCTGCTACAGTTGATGGTATTGCTTTTGTACACAATTGTAGCCATTTTTGCTTACTTATGCCTCTAAGATTGCTGCGGCCGCCAATTTCATATGCAAACACCGCAAATGCCTCTGCTGTATGTTGTAGTGACCGCCAACCACATCATCGCCAATGGATATGATTTTGTTGCTATGCCACAAGTGTTGTTGCTAGCAAAGAGCTCTAGCCACTTGTCCATTAGCTGTCTGCAGCAACATTTGCCGATTACACATTATTGTTTTGCGTACCCCCCAGCCCGCGTTGTGTTGAGAGCGAGAGTGCTGGGGCGTATGTGAGTGAGCAAGTGTGGTGTCTGTGCAGCAGCAGGAGCAACAACAGCAGCTGATTGCCACACTTTTGGGGCGCCACTTAACAAGCTTTTTGTTGTGGCTATGATTGTTATTGTTATTGTTGTTGTTGTACTCGTTTGCTTTGCTTGGCGAAATTTCCAAGCCCCAACAAAAGCTGCAATCAGTTTTGCCGCTGTTGCAGTTGATTTCAATTTTACAACACGTTTTGGCAGTATTTGGCTCCCTATTATTGTTGGTGTTGTAATTTTCTTATTGGCAACAGCAGTGCCACTAACATCGATAAATATGTTATAGCGGCCGAACTGGGGCACTTGCTTGTGCCAACGAACAGGTTTGCTCCGTCATCGATTCGCCCACTGCCATAATGACATATACTCAGATGTATGAAGAATTAGGGTGTTCCAAAAATTTTGCGATATATTTTAATAGATTGGAAATATATTTTAAGATAATTTTAGCTTTAATATTAATATTAATTTTAATTTTAATTTTAACTTTATTTTGAATATTAATTTTAATTTTAATTTTAATTTTAATTTTAATTTTAATTTTAATTTTAATTTTAATTCTAATTTTAATTTTAATATTAATTTTAATTTTAATTTTAATTATCTAAAATCTTAATTCTAATTAATTTCTATCTTAGTTTTTATTTTAATTTTATTTTAAGTTCCAGTTATAATTTTAGCTTTAATTTTTAATTTTTTTGATTGTAATGAAGACTGTTTTGGTACACCCTAATAATTTTCGTATGTAAACCACGTGTGCATCAAACCACTTACTACTCGCATACCCGGTTCGCCCGTCTTTTCTCCTGTTTGTTAGCAATTTTTTCTCGATTTTCCCATCCACTATCCATTCACTTTGCCTTATAATTGAGTTTGACCACATTTGGCGCTTAAAAACCGCTTTTGGTTTTACTTATAAGTAAGTGCCTGGTTTTTAGTATGGAGAGGGGGGGTGTAAATATACCCATTACAACAAAAAACAACAGCACAACAACAACTTGTAAAATCTATACGCCGCAAAATTGTAAATGGCACTTTTAGACCACTTTCTGAAGGACATTTTTTTTCATTTTTCCACTTTTTTTTTAATTTTCTAATTTCTTTGATTTTTTTCTTGTCACTTCTTTGGTGGTAAAGTTTTTACATTTGCCTACTTTGGTGGGAAAAATATCTACTATAACTGTCTGGTCATATGGAAGAAACATAGTCAGCCAAACAACTTTTCCACTTTATAAACTTAATGAGTTTTGTAGTTGTAATTATAAAGTTTTTTGCTGTTAATAATTGTTATTTTTCAGAGATAGAAGAAAGTGATCAGCTGTATCCAGCTTAAAGGCGAAAGTCATAAAAAAATAATAATTATAATTCAAATAAAATAAATGTAATTAAGATGAGTAAGGAAGATTATGTGCGGGTAGAAACGAATATAAGAAACTCAGTTGGTATTTATATTAAACGCCAGGCATCAAAGCTTGCATGTGGACTTATGGTAGTATTTTTTTGACAGAACTTTGGAGCTAAGTTAGAGCAGTCAAGCGTTGCTTGGAAAATGCTGGAATGATCTGCTAGTCCCATGGTTATATTAGTTGAGAGCATCGGTAGCTTGCCCTCTGAGTTTTAGCTTAAAATGTCTATAGCTCCCTTTGTCTATTGCAAAGAGATGGTGAGTTGGGGGAGAGAGATAGAGTAAGAGAGAGAGAGAGAGGGAAATAGAGAGTACGAAAAAGAGAGGGATATTGAGAGTAAGAGAGAGAGAGGAAGAAGAGAGAAAGAGAAAATTATAGAGGGGGATAAACAAAGAGAGAGGGAGAAAAGTAAGCGAGAGAGAGAGGAAGATATAGAGAAAAAGAGAGAGAGAGGGGGAGATAGGGAGATAGAGAGTAAGAGAGAGAGAGAGGGAGATAGAGAGTAAGAGAGTAAGAGAGAGAGAGAGAGAGAGTGTGAGAGAGAGAGAGGAAGTGAGAGAGAGGGAGAGAGAGAGGGAGATAGAGAGTAAGAGAGAGAGGGAGATGGAGAGTAAGAGAGAGAAAGGGAGAGTAAGAGAGAGGAAGATAGAGAGTAAGAAAGAAAGAGAGCGAGATAGAGAGTAAGAGAGAGAGAAAGAGGAAGATAGAGAGTAAGAGAGAGAGAGAGATAGAGAGGAAGATAGAGAGTAAGAGAGAGAGAGAGGGAGATAAAGAGTAAGAGACATGGAAATTCTACAGCAACAGTGGTGGAGTAAGAGCTGTGGTGCAAGCTGTCAGAAGATAGCGCATACATAATGAATCACTCACGTAGTTAATAAAGGCTAGATACTGACAACTCAAAGAAGCTCTATGTTTGTGTGCCCCATAAATGCTAAGAAGACATCAAATCGCCATCATTGAAACGCGTCTGAAATGCGTTCCGCGTTCCAATCCGGAAGCGACTCTCCATAAACGAAAAATTGAAAAATAGAATCGAAAACGAAAAAGAATCGTGAGCAAACGTCGATGATTCTCCACAAACGCTCATAATGAGCTACTGCAACCTCGCGAAAAGATCAATTCTGAGCTCTATATTCATAAGATTGCTTACAATAAAGCTCTCCAAAGAAGCGGCCAATCAAAAATGTGTTGTGTTTCATCATGACTACGACAGGCTACACGCAATTCCGATGACCGGCAAAAGTTAACGGAGCTTGGTTGACAAGTTTCGCTACATCCATCATTCAGCTTAAATCTTGCTTCTTCTAGCTATCATTTATTTAGATAAAAGCAAAACTCTATTGATGCTAAAAAATGGCTGACCGAAGAGCCACTGAAAACCATTTTAACAAGTTCTTTGCCTATAACATCATTACAGGGCCACCCGAGGTCATCTATATATATGAAAAGTGTTTTCCTGAATGCCTGACAGATCAAACCACAACCTAAGCCACTAATGAACTTGGAGGGAGTGTTCTACGTATGTGCTCGATACGAAAGAACTTGCCGGGAAGTGGAACTGGGAAAAATCTGTTAGAAAAAATTGGGTTTAGTTTTAAAACGATTGATTTCCGAGGTGGTATTGAATCTAAATAAATATGATGAATATGTTTTTTTCCCGGAAGTGAGTCTTGGAACGATCTATTCGAAAATTTAATTTACATGAAGCTCGGTACAGACGGTACATTTTGCATAAATTAACGTCGAGAATACTTTTTCAACAAGGATAGGGCCGAGAATGTACTACAGGGTTCGGTTGTGCCTAATATATGGAACATGGTCGGCTCTTTGCTTTATGTCAATGCATGGAGAATTTATTTTTGGAGTCATCTATGGAACAGAATTATATTTATGGTTCGTGTTGCTTGATATATGGAATATAGATGGCTTTTTGTCTAGGCTAATTTGTGTAAGGCCGAGCTAGCCGAGTGGTTCGCATTGCGTACTGCCATTCTCAAGGCGCGGGCTCAAATCCCCGTGCGACTAACATTCAAAATTAATTTAAATAAAAAATTATTGTAAGTTAAATTTTCTAATTGCGGTCGCCTCTCGGCAGGGAATGTCTACCCCTTCGAATGTATTTCTGACATGAAATAAAGGCTCCTCATAAAAAACCATCAGCCGTTCGGAGGCGGCTTAGTATAAACTGTAGGTCCCTCTATTTGTTGGAAAAAACAGCAAGACGCAAAAACACAAATTGGAGCAGGAGCTCGGCGGAAAATCACTTCAACGATTACAAAGGCTTATAAGACTTATAAGTTATAACATAATAAGTTATAATTTTCATAAAATAAATAACGGTAAATCCGAATAAAAA